AGAGTATGTGAAAAGTAGTTAGGGTTGCCACCTTTCTTGGAAAAAAAGGAGTGACATAAAAGAAAATGCTGTAAAATCACAAAAAAAAACTATGAGTTTGATTCTGCTGTATAGATGGATTCCTCCCAGTGCCCCCATGTCTCCCAGTGCCCCCATGACTCAGTGCCCCCATGTGTCGATTACTCCAGGTCTCAGTGTTCCTATGTATCAGTGTCTCAGTGCCCCATGCCTCCCAATGTCCACTAGTGTCGTGTCCCCAGGTCTCCCAGTGATCCTATGTATCACAGTGTCTCAATGCCCCATGTCTCCCTGTGTCCCCATGTATCCCAGGGTCCCCATGTCACTAGGACACTAGGAAGATGGGGAGACCTGGGGAAATGGGGAGACCTAGGGACACGGAGACACAAGTGACACTGGGAGACTAGGGGACTCTGGCTGGGACACATGGGGACAATGGGAAAATAGGGGACACTTGAAGACATGGGGACACAGACACCAGGGACACACTGGCTGGGGGACATTGAGACATGGGGACACTGAGACACCAGGGCCATAGACACTAGGGACACTAGCTTGGAGACATGGGGACATTGTGACACTTTAGGCAATGAGAGACATGGAGGCACTAGGAGACATGGGGGCAGTGAGACACTGGCAGACTGGGAGACTAGGGGTCACTGGGAGACAAGGGTCCCCATGTGTCTGTGTCATAATATCTCCCAATGCCCCTTAGTGTCTCAGTGTCTGCCATAATATCTCCCAGTGTCCCTTAGTGTCTCAGTGTCTGCCATAATGTCTCCCAGTGCCCCTTAGTGTCTCGGTGTCTGCCATAATGTCTCCCAATGTCCCTTAGTGTCTCAGTGTCTGCCATAATGTCTCCCAGTGCCCCTTAGTGTCTCAGTGTCTGCCATAATGTCTCCCAGTGTCCCTTAGTGTCTCAGTGTCTGTCATTATGTCTCCCAATGTCCCTTAGTGTCTCAGTGTCTGCCATAATGTCTCCCAATGCCCCTTAGTGTCTCAGTGTCTGTCATAATGTCTCCCAGTGCCCCTTAGTGTCTCAGTGTCTGCCATAATGTCTCCCAGTGTCCTTAGTGTCTTATTGTGTGCAATAATATCTCCCAATTTCCCTTAGTGTCTCAGTGTCTGCCATAATGTCTCCCAATGTCCCTTAGTGTCTCAGTGTCTGCCATAATGTCTCCCAGTGTCCCTTAGTGTCTAAGTGTCTGCCATAATGTCTCCCAATGTCCCTTAGTGTCTCAGTGTCTGCCATAATGTCTCCCAATGCCCCTTAGTGTCTCAGTGTCTGCCATAATGTCTCCCAGTGCCCCTTAGTGTCTCAGTGTCTGCCATGTCTCCCAGTGTCCCTTAGTGTCTCATTGTGTGCCATAATATCTCCCAATGTCCCTTAGTGTCTCAGTGTCTGCCATAATGTCTCCCAATGTCCCTTAGTGTCTCAGTGTCTGCCATAATGTCTCCCAATGTCCCTTAGTGTCTCAGTGTCTGCCATAATGTCTCCCAATGTCCCTTAGTGTCTCAGTGTCTGCCATAATGTCTCCCAGTGTCCCTTAGTCTCTCAGTGTCTGCCATAATGTCTCCCAGTGTCCTTTAGTGTCCCAGTGTATGTCTCCTTGCAGCCTTTCCCCCATCCCTCACTTCCCTGAGCTGTAGGCTGTCTCTGCAGGGTGGGAGTTGCTGTCTAGACTCTCTGTAGCTGCTCCCCTACAGATCAGTGAGTATAGATAGGCAGGGAGGGATATGCTGGAACTTCCTATCCCTGCCTGTCTCCACACACAGCGACCCCTACTGGCCAGTGCTGGTATTGCATAGTAATCTCTTGTTTATACTGAGAAAAATACCAGCATTTATATTGCCAGTATCACTGCAATTGGCACCAGCCAGGCAGCCTCAAATACTGGCTGTGCCAATAAAATAAAAGCCAGGTGGAATCCCTAAGAGTAGTGTGTAAAAAAAAAAAAAATTCTTTTTTTTTTTAATTAATGGGCCTATTACATGGGCCTGGGCCTGGGCCTGGAGCTGCAGCTCCATCAGCCCCTATGTTAATCCGTCCCTGCCCAAAACAGTTCCATACACTTGACGGCAAAACACTGCTGGACAATTTAAGATGGCCGCCGTAACATGTTTTGAAAATGGATTATCACAGGGCCTATAGTCCCAGGGTAGGAGCTCACCAACTACGCTAAACCCGGACATCCCCAAATCGACCTGAAAAAGGTCAAACCTGGTCTGCTGGAGTGTCCCACAAGGAGGGAGCTTTGCGACAGACCACCCTGTCCCTGGTTTATGAAAACTCTTTTTCTTTCCTCTGTTTGTTCGGTATATTGCATTCACCTTCGATTTTATTATTATTCTTTTTGCATACCTAACAAACCAATGAATGACCAGACCACCCGTATGTGAAGTGTGCTGCTTATTAACCTCCGTCACCCCTGTCAGCCCCTCGTTAACACTTTTAACCGCAACATTCTAAACGGTTGGCTGGGTGGTCGCCGTTCGTATGGACTAACACGTGGCGGTGGCCACCTTGAGCCGCAAATACAGGCAGCGGTGTTTGGTCGTCGAGTGCGTGGAACTAAAATCGGATACTCAACTGCCCCATCTTCGCTCATGTTCATCTACATTCGTTTGGAAGGAACACCATTCGGTGGGAGCTTACTTCCGAACAAGAGACATCTAACTAGCAAAAGGGCTAATACTTTCATTTGGTATTTTGTGAGATTCACCTGTAATGTCACTTTGGAAACCCCTTGCATGGGGAGTTACAGAAAAGGCTGTGTGTGGCTTCCAATAAACAGGTTCACCACCAGCATTTAGTCTCGAATAATTGCCTGCTTTTGGATTATCGCTATTGGGAACAGTGTTTGAGATTACTATAGCATTACTCACACTAGAGGAAAAAGAAGATCTCTGGCGACGAAACCCCACAAAGAACCCTGTTATACCCTGTTCCCCTTTGTACAGCCACTACCCTAGTTAACACACTATGCATAAAGTTGCGTTGGTTTGCATTCGGAGCATTCACATTTGCTATTGTATACATAACATTGTTTAACAAGTATGTCAGCATCTACCCTTTGCACCAGATATTTTACGCAGCAATTCAAAGGCTACTGACTTGTGTATGTATATGGAAACCCCCCATGATTTTTGGACATGAGCGGAGTGGAATTGGTGGGAAAGTATTTTATACTAGGGATTGTGTGATTTAGGGAAGTGTGTCTCCTGGAGGCACATGACATCAATGTGGTGTTTTTCAACATCATTTTGGACCCTGTGCCTTTTGTGTTTCATGTCAAGCCCCCGTACGTTATCTTAAAATCATTATGTCTGTTCTATGTTTATACGGCCATATACATGACCCTCATCTAAATGTTATAGTCGCACTTCAATTAAGACATGCCATGAACCAGGTCCGCCACTTGGGGACACTCCCCTGCCCCCCCAAAAAATAAAAAATAAATGCTTAGTAGATATACCCCAAAAGAAAACATGCATTTATTATTTTTATTTTTTTTATTGGGATTATATTTACAAGTGTGTCTTAGCAAGTCGCTAACACATGGTACTGCCATTCGATTCAACCGTCAATAGCCTCACATTAATGCATGTTACTCTACGTTATACTAGCATTTGCAGTTGCTTTCAACCCTATTGTATCATACCAATTTTGTATGCATAAGTGTTAATCATACTCCTAAGCATTTCACAAGTATGCCTTATAAATGTATTTATTATATATTAAAAAATAAAAATAAAATAAAAATATTACGTTCACCATTTCACAAGCTAGACTTTTTATAAATGTAGGTCTTGTAAATTCTGTCTCCTCCTACGTTTAGCGTATGGCCATCACAGCCTCAAACTAAATCAGCACTATTTCATTCTAGTGGTCTAAACCTCATTCCTGTCATAAATTCTCTTTTATACCCTCCGTTCAACTGGCTCAGTAAGTATGTATTGTATAACTTTTAACATGTGTATTTTTTACTGTCGCTATGTTAACAATTTCACAAGCTAGACGCTTATTGTTATTGTTTTTGTTATTATTATTGTTATTATTAGTATTTGCACCATAGGTTTCTCTACTCTCTCATTACTATTATATTTCTTTTAATTGCTACTTCTCCAGAACTCCAGAACTCTACAACCTATATCTGATCTACCAATCACCCTCTCCAGGGGTCAAGTCCTGGGGAAAAAAGTGTGGGAACTCTCCCAAAAAAAAAACCAAAACACTTGTATGTATGTGTATATATATGTATGTATGTATGTATGTATGTATGTATGTATGTATGTGTGTGTGTGTGTGTGTGTGTGTGTGTATGTATATATATATATATATATATATATATATACACAGATACACACGCGCGCATACACACATACACTCACACAGTGGTGTATTTTAATTTTATGCTGCCCTAGACATGACTATAGAGCACCCCCCTAATCTAAATTTACCACTCCTTCATGTCAAGGGCACACCGCTTCTTGATTAAGAACCCACCCCTTCCTCTTTAGACTCCACCTTTTCCTGCTCCTTTTAAAGAAATACTATAGTGCCAGGAAAACAAAGTTGTTTTCCTGGCACTATAATTCCGTATAGTGCCCCCCTCCTCTCATGTCCTCCCCTCCCCCACTCGACACTGAAAGGGTTAAAATCCTATGGGTATTTAGCAGATGCTGGATGTCCTCATGCACAGGGTGAGGACGTCCAGCATCAGTTAGGTGACTTTTGGTCACCTAACCACCCGAAAGTCACTCTAGTGGCTGTCTGATAGACAGCCACTAGACTTGGAGTTACCCCTCAGGTAATTATTGCAGTTTCTGAGAAGGTTTAAGGGGACTGGGACACTGCACCCAGACCACTTCAAGGAGCTGAAGTAGTCTGGGTGCCTATAGTGTCCCTTTAAGCACACTCTCTGACAGACACCCACACTGGCAGATACACACTGACAGTAACACACACATTCAATGACAAACACACAGCCTTCACTGATTTGACACACACATTCACTGACACACACTCATTCATTGACAGAGAGACACACACTAATAGTCACACACACACACTAAATGACAGACTCTCACTTATTTGACAGAAACTTACAATAACGTATGCACATACATGCAATTGCAAACATACACATGCATACACTAACAGAAGCACATACACTCACATACACACGTACAAACGCTAACAGACATAAATACACTCCTACACACACTGAGACATACAGACATCCACAGACAGACATCCACAGACATCCACAGACAGACATCCACAGACAGACATCCACAGACAGACATCCACACATCCAGACGTCCACAAACAGACGTCCACACATCCACAAACAGACATCCACACATCCACAAACAGACATCCACACATCCACAAACAGACATCCACACATCCACAAACACACATCCACAGACATCCACAAACACACATCCACAGACATCCACACATCCACAAACAGACATCCACACATCCACAAACAGACATCCACAAACAGACATCCACAAACAGACATCCACAAACAGACATCCACACATCCACAAACAGACATCCACATCCACACATCCACAAACAGACATCCACATCCACACATACACAGACATCCACACATACACAGACATCCACACATACACAGACATCCACAAATAGACATCCACAAACAGACATCCACACATCCACAAACAGACATCCACACATCCACAAACAGACATCCACACATACACAGACATCCACACATCCACAAACAGACATCCACACATACACAGACAAACACACATACACAGACATCCACACATACACAGACATCCACAAACAGACATCCACACATCCACAAACAGACATCCACAAACAGACATCCACACACAGACATCCACACATCCACACACAGACATACAGACATCCACACACAGACATCCACACATCCACAGACATCCACACATCCACACACAGACATTCACACATCCACAAACAGACATCCACAAACAGACATCCACAAACAGACATCCACACATCCACAAACAGACATCCACACATCCACAAACAGACATCCACAAACAGACATCCACACAGCCACAAACAGACATCCACAAACAGACATCCACACATCCACAAACAGACATCCACAAACAGACATCCACACATCCACAAACAGACATCCACAGACATCCACAAACAGACATCCACTAACAGACATCCACAAACAGACATCCACACATCCACAAACAGACATCCACAAACTGACATCCACAAACACACATCCACAAACAGACATCCACATATCCACAAACAGACATCCACATCCACACATCCACAAACAGACATCCACAAACAGACATCCACAAACAGACATCCACATATCCACAAACAGACATCCACATCCACACATCCACAAACAGACATCCACACATCCACAAACAGACATCCACATCCACACATCCACAAACAGACATCCACACATCCACAAACAGACATCCACAAATAGACATCCACAAACAGACATACATATATACAAATTAATAATAATATAAAAAAATTAACATTTCCCACCCACCCAGCATCCCTACCTTTCCCTGGGGTCCAGTGGGGCTGCAGTGAGGGCGGCTCTCTCCCTGTCACACGCGGAGAGGGAGCTGTGTGCTCTCTGCTCCCTCTCGCTGCGTGGGATGTCTGCTGATGCCGGGAGCCGGAATATGACGTCATCAACCCGGCTCCCAGCAACAGCAGACATCCCGCGCGGCGAGAGGGAGCAGAGAGCACACAGCTCCCTCTCCGCGTGTGACAGGGAGAGAGCCATGCGCCGGGACAATCCATCAGGTGGCCCCCCCATGACAGAGGAAACAAGGGGGGCATTTGGGGGCGGCATTTGTTGCCGCCCCCTGAGTGCCTGCAGGGGGAACGGCGTTCCTGCTGTGAAAAAAGTGCAGGAACGCCGTTCCCACGCGTTCCTGCAGGACTCGAACCCTGACCCTCTCCATTACCTTTATCACAGCCTCACGTGGTCACCCTGCACCTCAGTACTTACACTGGGCCCCTTCTCAACCTCATATACACGGTCCTTGCAAAGGCCCTCAATGGGACTTTGCAACATCCGTTCCATGTGACTCTCAGTGGGCAACATTATATGTTCCTATTTCAGCCCTTTATTGGGCTTCTCATTTGCATAACATCCATTTACAGGGGTTGCATACTTCCCTTACCACACTACACGATATCCATAAAATAATCATACCTTACTATACGGCTTTCACTAGGTCACCTTCGATTTTATTATTATTCTTTTTGCATACCTAACAAACCAATGAATGACCAGACCACCCGTATGTGAAGTGTGCTGCTTATTAACCTCCTGGGGAATCTGTATTCTTCATCACGTACATTGTTCCTACCTAAGTCAAACACTATGGTTCATCAGTATCTATTAGGCAGGAGTGCACATAGCGAGCTGCCAGGTGATACAGGGCTACACTCTCATCGACATGCCCATTACATTTACTCATTGTTTATTCATCATAGTATGTATTTCACCCCTAGAAGAGGTTATTTTATTCCAAAGTACCCAGCCAGACCCTCCACCCCAGCTAGTCCATTGTACTCTGGTCAAGTACCAGAATACCACAAACACAGTTCCTTGTAACACTGGACCGTTCCTAATTGCTGCTGAACTCATGCGTTCCCAGCTACAGCACTGAAGCTGAGCTGTACAGACTCGTAATTGCCAACTCTGAGCTCCCCCGCCCGTGTATTACAGACAACATGGCAGAGATGCATGCTATGATGGCATCCATCCTTTCATCATAATTATGTTCTATGATAGTCTGGATAATATTCCAAGGGACCTTAGAGGAGACAGCAACATAAGCACACGCATCATTACATTACCTCTCAGGTCCAGGACATGCATAATAAAAACACCCCAAAATACATACTTAACAATTGAGTACCCCCTCAAGTTCTATATCCCCGGGTAGCCTGGATCTGAGTGTCCAACATATCCAATAAGCACTCAGATCCCACGGACACAGCCGAAACTCCACCAAAGTATAGTTTAGACCAACCGCAGACGAGGCGCATGCCCCAAATTTCCATGAAATCAGGCTGTGCGGCCAAATCTATACATATGGTTTTAATGGGTAGTGCAGAGGGACTCTTAATAGGATGCCCCCAATCCTTCTTCCAGCTGATCTCTGTGTGGCATATTGTAATGATGGAATGAGAGATCCTTCTCTGGTAAATTTAATCTTTATTGGATTCAACAGAATAAGCGCAGTAAACTATGTGCAAAAATGAAAAAAATGTTCTGGACATGGACAAAAAGTCAGAGAAAGTGCTAATAAGTCAAAAATTGCAAGTTGGTGCAACCGAGTCCGAATGTCTGTGCTTTCTAATGATTGGCCTGTCTGATAAGCGTTTCGCCCTATGGTGGGGGCTTCCTCAGTCGGCAAGTAGTTGGGGAGCCTTCCCGGTGTCTTTTTAAACCGTGCATGGCTCATTCTTCCAGATTCGGTTGTGCGCATTTGGAATGATACATGCGCTCCAAATCACACGTCATGCGCTCCACTTCTCGGTCGCATGATTGGCATCCCTGGAACGCATATTGAATAACGTGTGCGTTCCAACAAGGTATTTTATTCATTATTAGACTCTTATATCTCTATAAACATTTACTCCAAATATTGTGCATTATGAAATATTGCTTGTAATTACAATAAATTATACTTCAGTGATTGGAAAAAAAAGATTTCTATATAAAAACATACCAATTTGTTGACATGTAAAATAAATCAATATGGCCTAAAATAAATAAAAAAATAAAAAAAGGAGTAAGGTATTATAAACTTATAGAGGGATAGGAGGTGCATATAGTGGCCTCTTGGAAGGTAGTGGTCGTCTTATATCATAAATACACCCATTGATGGAAAATAAACAATACAATGATATACATACTTTAGAAACATATAATCTGTAAATAAACTAAATAAGGAGAGTACTATAAATATTGTCTAAAATATAAGATAAGAGCTAAATCTGTAAAAGGATGTCTTAAAAAACCTATAGAGATCTTGTATTAAACAAAATTACAAATCTCAAAATCCGAATTCAAGCCATGTGGGATGAGGGTATTAAAATTATAAATACATTTCATTTCTTCATTCCCTATTTTACGATTATAATCTCCACCTGTGACGGACTGCCTTGCACCCCGACTGGGTACCTCCATCAATCGCTGCTTCCTAGTACTTGCAAGCACCATAAGCACTGTACTGGAACACCATAACCACTGTAAACCCCACGAACCGCTGCAGCTTGGTTAGGGTCTCGCCTTCCTCCACCCACCCTGGACCCAAGACCAGGAACCAGCTTCCAGTGGGTAGACCTCTCCTAGTCCAGAGAGCGTAGCAGGACAGCTCTTATAAGAGCTAGTGATTATACTCAGGGATTGTGATATAGCAATCCCCTGAGAGTATGTAGTTCTCCAATCCCCCAAACATGAGCCAAGACTTCATAATGGGTTAAAGCATTCTGTTTAATGAAAGCCACAGCTGGCCTTTTATGCAAGTCCCCAAGCAAGGTGTACACCAACATGGACCTTGCTGGGAACAGGGACACAAAGCTTACAAACCAGTCTGAACAGTAATTAAATGTATGACACTCCCATAACAAACATACAATCCTTCCCCTCTGCCTGTGAGATAATTGAGTCAGATACTGTATTAAGCCAATTATCTCCAGGCAGAAATTTTTTTACAAAACCCCAAAAGTACCCCAAAACACAACATATCCACACATAGCCCTGATCCACACATAGCCCTGGATAGCCCTGATCTGAGTGAACAACATATCCAAAAATCACCCAGATCAGTTCAGGGGTTCAGGAATTTCCTGGAAGTCTTATTTTTGACCCACTGTGCACATGGTCCCATGCCCAAAACAGTTCCAGAGAATTAGGGCTAACAATCGGTCACTCTGTCTGGAGTACAAGAGTACATACTTCACATGAACAGAGCCTTTTAAAGTGCATTGGGAAAGGAATATGGCAGGGCCCACAGTCCTGATTCAAGAGGCTGGCCAGCAGGCCCGTCCAAGAACCAGTGACGAGGTTCAGTTCGTCACAGGGCCATAATCACAGGGTAAGAGGCTGGCAAACAGGCCTCTCTAAAAGCCAGTGACTAGGTTACTTTTGTCACACCACCTCTCCAAT